GCAACTTCGTGCCTCAGCTCGCTACATCTGTAAAGTGGGAATCCTAATAACACCTCTTTGTAGTAGCAGAATCGTCCTGAGGAACAGATGAGTGAAAATGGGTCAACCTCTTAACAGAGCGCTGGCTCACAGCAAACGCCACATAAATCCTGGCGATTGCTATTACTATGCACAGAGAACATGAGAGAGGTTCTCATAGGGACTTACATGTGTCACCTTGTCTAATTAAAAATAAATTTTTTAAAGCCTTGAGACAGATGGTATTAATCCCTGTTTGACAGATCAGGAAATAGGCTTAGAGAAGTCATGGGGAGACTGGGGGTCAGGGCAGGGCAGGGCCAGAGGGGCAAAGGTGGGTATTCAGAGCCACAGTGACTGCTTGTAAGAATGCCACCCCGCGTGCAGCCTCCCCAGCCGCTCAGTGTGCCAAGACTGAAGTTCCAGTGTCTGGTAGCCGACGAGCCCTGCTCCAAGCCATCCTCTGCTGCCTTCCCTGACCTCCTCAGGCCTCACGTGTTCTGGATCTCTCATTTCTCAGTGTCTTCACACTTCCTGCCCCCTACTCCGAGAGCTCCTCACCCTGCCATGCACCTGGCTGGCCCCATCTCACGGGCCAGCAGCCCATCAGGCAATCATGCCCCCTGAGTGAGCCCTTAGTGCAGGGCACAGTCTCACAACAGTGCCCAACAGGCCCCAGGCCCAGATGCCCTTGAGAGGCTCCCTGAGCTGCCTCTGCTTACTGGGACTCTGCCATGGCTCCCACTCTGTCCTGCCTTGCACTGGCTGCAGTCGTGACTGGATGTTTGTGTGTTCATCCGTCAGTATCTGCCAGCCCCCTCTAGACTCCACGAGGGCAGGAACTGCACCTGATTTATTACCATCTGTGGCACATACTAGGTGCTAAATAAATAAGAATTGCATGACTCTCAAATGGATGAGTGAATGAGAAATAGCATAGGTATGCCTGGGTTACCTAGGTCACTTGTTTGGATTGTCAGAGTACCACCGAATGGGGTAAAAGAGTATTTCTGATGATACCTATATGAAAGCATCAACCAAAGGACCTGGGTCTGCTTAGAGGGCTCAACGTCATGTTCGGGGTTTCCAGCCAAGCTGCTGCCACCACAGTGTCAAGGACAGAGACCTGCTCTGTGGCTCACTATGACATCCCCAGGGATGACCACAGCACACAGCAGGGGCCTGATGCGTTTTTGTTAAATGAATAAATGTCGCCAGCAGGTGTGACTTCAATGCAGTCACGTTTCTGTATTTAAGCTGGAATCCTATTTTGTTGATCGAATATTAACTGGAAAACCATATTCTCTGGAAATTACCTGGAAGCTCCCTGAAAAATGTGATACTTAGCTAGGTCAGGGCCTGAGCATTCGAACATCAGGATATCAAAGTGGCAGATCTCGCTGCCTTTGTCCCTCTACAAAGAACAGTGACATAATCCACACAGTAAACACAAACAATTTCCATTCAAGTCCAGTATCTGCACTTGGGTCACAGTTCTTTGGAAAAGTGTCTTTCCTGAGCCTCAGTTTATTCATCTATAAATGTAGATGATAAAAATACCGACCACACAGGGGAACTGAAGGATTAAACTCAATGTTATCTGGCACACAACAAGCAGCTATTATTATAATTGTTTAAACAGAAGGTATCATTTCAAAAGGAAGCTGTTTAAAGCTCTGAAGATATTTTGTAGGAGAATTTTCCTGACGTCATTCTATAGACAGAAAAAAGTCAGGAAATTCCTTGAAAACTGCTGTCTTAATGAGGGTGTTCCTTCCAAACCCCACTGCCACCACAATCAACTACCCAGTTTGAGGTGGATTCTGATTGAAATTATAAAAAAAAAAAATTTGGCAAGATGAATGTATATTGCAAAACAAAATGTGTTGCTTTTAAAGTGATTTTGGAGCCTCAGTAATTAGTCTAGCAAGTTCCAAAGACACATTCTGTAGTCATCATTCAGTATTTGTTTCTTTTGGTAATCTGCCTTTCTTAAAAAAAAAAAAAAAAAAAAATCAGCTGGGGAAAACAACTGTTTGGAAGCTGCCTGGGACCGAAGCCCCCACCCCCAGGCTTTGCTGGGCTCGGTATTATAAGGAAACTCCCTTGGATCCCACATTTTTTCTTCCTGCCAGGCCGCTCTTGGGTCACTTCTCAGCTCTGGTGGCTGCTGAAACGAGACAGATGCTGCTTTACAAAATAACTCAAGAACATACCAAAGCCTGTTGCTTCCAGCACTTGGAAAATCTGACATTCAAATATGCAAATATTTTATGGCACGAAGAGAGAAAAAAAGAGAGAAGGAGCTGCAAAGTCACATTTGAAACGAAACATACTGGAGATGAAAGCAAACTGGAATTTACACTTCTGGATTATAATTAAACTGGTGCTATTATCAGAGAAAAGCACAGAATTCGCCACGATTTGCTGCAAGGGTCTCTCGTTACTGCTGAAGTCACCAGACATGTCACCCAGTCTCCAGCACCTGCACGATGACAGAGCTGGATTTGCAGCCCCGGACGTGAGCCTCATCGTCAGCCTCACAGAAATGCCCTTGGCACAAAGGACAGGGAGGGGAGCGAGGCAGGAAAGCCAGACCACTGTCTTCACCCCGTTTTCCACAGTGCAGTGTATGTTCCTCTAAATATCTGGATTAAAATTCTGTTAAACGATCACCAGCCTTCACACAAACTTTGAGTTCATTTTCTTGGAGCTGTGAGGGAATGAGCAAAGTCAGCCCTACCATCGCGGAAGGTGAAGTGAAAAGAAAAGCAAACCAGAAGGCCTGAGTCAATCGGGCTCAGACCGTTAATAGCGGAGTTATTCTGATCAGTGACTTAACCTCTTAGAGATGCTCTCGAGGGGAGTTAGTCCAGAGGATTCCAAAGCCACCTTCCAGATCTCGGGGTCTATGAAAGACTGGAGTAGAAAAAGAAGAATCTGATGAACCTGCGTTTAAATCATAGTTTTGTTATTGACTCGCTTCCCGAACTTGGGCAGCTTGTTTGGAAGCTGAGGCTTCTCCTGTGTAGAACAAGGACAATAGCACCTGGCTCACAAGGCTGCTGAAAAGTTTCACTGCAATTATGTCGGGAAAACATTTGACGTGGGTTGAATTCTGCTATTACTCCCTGTCTCTTGTTTGTTTGTTTGTTTTATGACAGAGTCTTGCTCTGTCACCCAGGCTGGAGTGTGGTGCCACAATCCTGGCTCACTGCAACCTCCACCTCCCAGGTTCAAGTGATTCTCCTGCCTCAGCCTCCCTAGTAGCTGGAATTACAGGTGCCCGCCACCACATCCGGCTAATTTTTGTATTTTTAGTTGTATTTTTAAATCTACTAAAAAATACAAAAAAAAATAAAAACCAGCCGGGCGAGGTGGCAGGCGCCTGTAGTCCCAGCTACTCAGGAGGCTGAGGCAGGAGAATGGCCTAAACCCGGGAGGCGGAGCTTGCAGTGAGCTGAGATCCGGCCACTGCACTCCAACCTGGGCGACAGAGTGAAGACTCCATCTCAAAAAAAAAAAAAAAAAAAAAAGAAGGAGGGAGACAGGGTTTCACCATGTTGGCCAGGCTGGTCTCAAACTGCTGACCTCAGGTGATCCGCCCACCTCAGCCTCCCAAAGTGCTGGGGTTACAGGCGTGAGCCATCGCACTTGGCCTACTCCCTGTTTCTTATAATTTCTTCCCCTTTGTGATGGAAGCCAAAGAACACAACCAGACAAATCATGCTGAGAACCAAATATCATGACTGGGACGCCTGCAAGGCTAACCTCATCAATACCATTTTCAGGCCCACTGCAATAAACTTTGAAGGTCTGCATTCAGGCCCAGTCATACATGGGACTAGCCACTTAATTGAAAGACCATTTATGGCACTTTTTGATTTCTAATTGGCCGTTCCCTGATGCCAAATGTACTTCTGAACATGTCCTGCCATCATCAACTAGCATGTATTTAGTGAATACGAATTTATTTTTAATACGATTCTGGCAATAAAGGGTGAACTTTACTATCTGACTCCTCCTGGCCTCTTAAATCACAGAAAGATACAGAAATTAGTTTCTTGTTGTATGGCTGGGGTGCAGTGATGCAACCATAGCTCACTGTAACCTCAAATTCTGTGCTCAGACCTCCCACATAGCCAGGATTACAGGCATGAGACATGATGCCTAGCTAATTATTTTTTTATTTTTTGTAGAGATGGAGTCTTGCTATATTGCCTGGGTTGGTCTCAAACTCCTGAGCTCAAGCAATCCTTCTGCCTTGGTCTCCTAAAGTGTTAGAACTACAGGCATGAGCCAGTGTGCAGGCCTATAAATGAATTCTGCTTGTTTTAAGTTTGTCTGTAATACTTTTCCCCCCTACTTGACATAGACCCTGAAATTTTTTAATCTGCTTAATTCAATCAGTTGATTCCACTGGCAATTGTGCCATATTTTTTAATACTGAGACCTACTATGTACCAAGTACTATGCTAAGCACAGAGTAAACAAGAGGAACATTTCTTCGTTTTTGTTTTGTTTTGTTTTGTTTAAGACAGGGTCTCGCCATGTCACCCAGGCTGGAGTGTTGTGGCATGATCTCAGCTCACTGCAACCTCTGTCTCCTGGGTTCAAGTGATTCTCCAGCCTCAGCCTCCTGAGTACCTGGGATTACAGGCATGTGCCACCACACCCATCTAATTTTTGTGTTTTTAATAGAGACAGGGTTTCACCATGTGGCCAGGCTGGTCTCAAACTCCTGACCTCAAGTGATCAGCCCACCTTGGCCTCCCAAAGTGCTGGGATTACAGGTGGGAGCCGCTGTTCCTGGTCCATTTATTTGCTGTTGATAGGATGAGGGAACTCTCCTTTATCAGCAGGTTTGGCTACATTAAAATACGGTATTGGAGAGAACATAATGAAAGAAGTCTACCTCCTAGAGAAACAGAAGAGCACGTCGTGTTAGTTATCTATTGCTATTTAACAAATCACTCCAAAACTTTGCAGCTTAAAACAATAAACATGTATTATTTCACACAGTTTCTAGACTCGAGGAGGAATAAGCTCAGCTGGATGGTTCTGGCTCAGGGAGCCTCTCGAGGCTGTAGGTGAGACGGAAGTCATCTGAAGGTTTGACCGGGGCTGGAGGATCTGCGTCCAAGGTGGCCACGCACACACCTGGAAGGGCAGCTCTGGCTGCTGGCAGGAGGCCTTGTTCCTCCCCTGGTGGTGCTCTCTCATGGGGATGTTAGAGTGGCCTCGTGACATGGTAGCTGGCTTCCCCTAGAGAGAGTGATCCAGGAGAAAGCCAGCATGAGCCGCAGTGGCTTTTATGACCCAGTCTTTGGAATTCACATTTTGTTACTTCTGCAATTTCCTATTGGTCACACAGGCCAAGTCCACTCAGTACGGGAGGGGGTTACAAAGAATGGGGACGCCAGGAGGCGAAAATGGTCAGGGGCCATACAGGGGGTTGGCCACCACACATATTTGGACAGAAAGGCCAAGCGTGGTGGCTCATGCCTATAATCCTAGCACTTTGGGAAGCTGAGGCAGGCAGAGCGCTGGTGCTCAGGAGTTGGAGAACAACCTGGTCAACATAGCAAAACGCTGTCTCTACAAAACATATAAAAATTAGCCATGCTTGGTGGCACATGTCTGTGGTCCCAGCTACTCTGGGAGGCTGAGGTGAGAGGATCACTGAGCTCAGGGATTCCTGCTTCCAGTGAGCTATGATCGTAGCACTGCACTCCAGCCTGGGCGACAGAGCAAGACGCTGTCTCTTAAAACAAAAATTAAATCAATAATACTAATAACAGAGAATGAGCCTCAGTTACGTTGACAAGTGTTATTCTATAAGGCACCATTGCAAGGCTCCCGGTTTGCACCAGGCAGATAACTGTGGCTTCCTAAGGCTCCATTGCATTGCCTGAGGCATGTCCTTGGGGGAGTGCCTCCTGGGTATTTGCTAGTGCTGAGTACTTGGGAGCCTCTGCCCCCAAGTAAATGCAGCTCCATTTAGCCCCTTGAGCAGAGATTATCTGTCCCTGCTGCCCTTTGAGAGGCTGACTAGTGATGAAGCTGAAGCCCACCTCCGCTCTCCCTGTTCTGTTAGGCCCTGAAGACACAAAGTGGAAGGAAGGTGAGGAAGGCATCAGAAATCTGCCCTTCGGTGAGCTGCTCTGCTTTAAGGCTGCACTGACAGACAGGGCTGATGTGACTCCTGGGCCTGCAGCACTCTGGGAAGTGAGCCTGATCTTAGAGGTTGGCGGGTTCTGCTGACACTGTTTAACCTGGTGAATAATAAAATTAGGGCCGATCTGCTCAGAACCACCCGGTTGGGGCCATCTAGGGAGAACACAGGACAGAGACATGCTGGCCCTGAGCTGGAAGGCAGCTGGGACTTTGTAGCCTGTGAGAATGACGTCATCTGACAAGAGAAACCTGCAGAGTGAAGGAGAACCACTCCACCGGCCTCCACACACTGCAGGACTCAAGGTAGGTGTCAGGACCTCTGCAAGGAGGAAGCAGATCTGTCCCAAGGCACATTATGCAAACAGCAGAGCTGCCAAGGGTGAGTTGAGATGCAAATACTGAGGGCAGAGATAACAGCATTTCCTGAGCCCTTGGCTCAGCAGAAAGACAGTTCACCTTCCACAGCAGTCGGGAGCTTCTGAGCTGCCTGGAGAAGCCACCCAACCCCTTCCCAACCTCCCTGCCTCTGATCACTACCCTACAGCTAGAAAGAAGGCACAGCAGAGCCCGCGACCTCCAAGTCCTTTCCCTTCTACAGTGGCCTCCACATCCAAGACAGATCCAAACGCAGGCTCAGAACCATCTTACTCTTCCTAGGAGCTGCAAGAGTGTGCCTAGCTCTAGTCTAGTTGTTTTGCATAAATTGTTTCAAATCTGAGTTCATATTGTTCCCTGTTTTAGAGCCTTCTTGTCCCAAATATGCATTCTTTGCTTTTTCCAGCACATGCTCAGAAAGAGAGGCATCTGTACATTTTCCCCTTTAATTGGAAAGGAAGATCTGAGTCCCTAATCCCTATCCACATGGCCACGCCAAGGCATCTTTACCTGACAAAGGACTTTAGTACACACACGCACACACACACACACACAGACGTACACATACATACACAAACTTATGTATACACATATACTCTAATAAAACAAATGTTAGAGAATGTATATGTAAATAATATTATACATTTCTTAGAGTATTTAGAAAAAGGCAAATACCCCAGAAGAAAAATTGACAGAAAACCTGTAAAAGCAGTTTACAGCAGAGAATATCCAAATGGCCATTCAGTACAAGAGAATTTCTCAGTGGTCAAGAAAATGCAACTTAAAACTATAATGAGTTACCACTACACACCCATCAGAGTAGCTAAAATTAAAAGAACTGATAATACAGATGGGGGCAGTGTCTCATGCCTGTCATCCCAGCACTTTGGGAGGCTGAGGCAGGCGGATCACTTGAGGTCAGGAGTTCGAGACCAGCCTGACCACCACGGTGAAACCCTGTCTCTACTAAAAATGCAAAAATTAGCTGGGTGTGGTGGCGGGCATCTGTAATCAAACCTGGGAGGCGGAGGTTGCAATGAGATGAGATGGTGCCACTGCACTCCAGCCTGGGCGACAGAGTGAGACTCTGTCTCAAAAAAAAAAAAAAAAAAAAAAAAAGGACCGATAATACAACATGTTCCAATGCTGCAGAGCAACAGGCTCTCTCTTGTGTTCCCGGTCGCAGCTGGAAATGGTGTAATCGCTACAGAAGACTGTCAATACCCATTACAGTTGAACAAATGCACCCCCCATGACTTAACAACCTTACTGCTAGACACATACCCTACAGAATGCATGCACCTGTCCCCCAAAGGACACATGTTAGAATTTCACAGCAGCAGCATGATTTGTATAATGAAAAGGATTGAAAACAAGCCAAATGTCCACCACCAATGAAACAAATAAATTGTGGTATATTCATATAGTAGAATAACCAATAAAAATTAATGAACTACAGTTCTACAGAACAACATGGCTAAATCTCAGAACATAACCTTTAAACATAATCTCTAATAAAAGAAAGTAAACACAAGGAATACATACCATGTGATCCATTTATATACAATTTACAAAGGGCAAGACTACTAGTTTTTAGTAATGAAAGTTTAGGTAGTAAAACTATGTTGGTTTTCATAAGAGAAATGATCGTGTTCACCTTCAGGGCAATGGGAGGGGTGGTGATTGGGGCCAGTTGTGGAGAGAGAAGCTACTAGGGTATTGGCGATGTTGTTTTCTTGACCTTGGGTGGTAGATATACAGGAATTTGCTCTATGATAATTCATTGACCTGTACATTTTTATTGTGCATTTTTTTTGGTTGAGCATATATTCAGCAATAAAAACAGTAACTGACTGGGTGCAGTGGCTCACGCTTGTAATCCTACACTTTGGGAGGCCAAGACGAGAGGATCACTTGAGGCCCAGGAGATTGTGGCCAGCCTGGGCGACATAGTGAGACCCTATCTCTACAAAAAAAATTAAGTAGCCAGGCATGGTAGTGTGCACCAGTGGTCTTAGCTTCTTAGGCGTCTGAGATGGGAGGATTGTTTGAGCCCAGGATTTCAAGTCTGCAGGGAGCCATATTCATGCCACTGCACTCCAGCCTGAAGAGCAGAGCAAGACTCTGTCTCAAAAAAAAAAAAAAAAAAAAATGTAGGTGTGGATAGTCAGAGTGGTAGCAATTGTGCTTCTTGCTTTCCCTTAGTTACCTCGATCAGTTCAGCCTAAACTTCGAGATGGCAGAAAGTACTATGAATCTGGAATTACATCAAGAAAGTTATTTTCCTTCTTTAAGATTCAGTGATTCTATCTTTAAAGTGTGATGATACCTATTGTAGATGGTTCTTATGAGGATTAAATCAATGAACATGGGAACGTGTTTGGCACACGCTAGATACCCAAAATTTGTTCCCCTAGTAGTAGCAATAGTTGGTGGTGGTGGTGGTGGTGGTGATGGTGGTGGTGGTGGTGATGGTGGTATTGTTGTTTAACTTAGGACTCAAATAGTGAGGCACTATAGGAAGGAAGACCGGACCCAGAGGCTGTGAGCTGCTGTTCTGGTTATGTATCGCTACATAGCATTCATATTATCCTACAATCCACTGGTTCAAAACAACAATTTTCTTGTACTTACAGCCACAAGAAAGGCAGGTTCAGCAGAGCAGTTCTTACTGAGGGTCTCTCACGAGGATGCGTTCAGATGTTGACTGAAGCTGCAGTCAGTGAAGACTCAGCCCAGCTGGGTCTCCAAGAGGCTGGCTCAGGTGCTTGGTGGTTGCTGCTGGCTTTTGGCTGAAAGCTCACTTGGAGCTACTGGCTCTGCCTTTGGTCCGAGCTTCCTCACAACAGGTGATCCCAAGCCTCTGAAAGTGAGTATCCCAGCGGGCAAGGTAGATGCTGCATTGTTTTTTGTGACCTAGCTTTGGAAGTCATAATTCATAAATGAAGCCATAATTCATTGGTTAAAGTAGTCACATACATGCCCAGATTCAGGGATGGGGGCATAGAATTTGCCCCATCTTTTAGTGTTCAGTTTACCATGAACACTAAGATTGTGTGTGAATTCTGGAAGCCATTCCTCCGACATTATAAGCAGCCTTTCATCATGGTTGAGTTCTCTCTGGGTTCAAATTCTGACTCTGCCACTTACCCTGTGGAAGCTACTTAAAGTTCCTGTGTCTCGGACTCCTCGTTGGTAAGCTGAGGGTCATTATCTAGTACTGCCTCCACGGGCTCTGTCGGAAGGAGTGTGGTGCATGGTGAACAGCTCAATGAATGTTAGCTTTTAGTATCGTTTCTGCCTGGCATGATATTCAACGCCATGGTGTTGGGCTCTGGTCCTGTCCCTCCTAAGATCGTTCCTAGGTGCCCCACATGCTTCCTATGGAGATAGCCTCCTTCCCGGAATCTCAGCCGTATGGCTGCCTCTGGAAAGGATGGGCCAGGCACGTACAGTGGGAAGAACCTCGAATTGCCTGAGTCCAAATCCTGCTTCTGCCTCCTATTTGAGGGGCGTGGGATACACTGCCTGTTCTCTGAGAGGTGTTTCCTTATCTGTAAAGAGGAGGAAAATGAGGCCTCCTTGACAAAGGGACTGATGAAATTCAATGAGAAAGTGTTGATGGGATCACTTAGTATAGTGTCCGCGTTTCATGGGTATTTGGATTTTTTGTTTATTTTTAGTTTTCAGAAGAAAAAGAACATAAATCTCAGAGATCACCAAAGAAGCATATCTCAGTGGCTGAAATAAACACCTCAATTAAACCATTCATCTTCTCTGGCCAAGTTCAGGGAGGCGTACAATCTTCGCCTAGGCACTTCTGTTACTGTGGGGAGAGCCCGTTTGCTCATTCATTCATGCAACGGATATTTATTAAATACCTACTGTGCACAAACAAGCAAAAACAAACAAGTGGGGGTCTTCACTGCCTCCGAAAGGGGTCTCCTCCAGATACTACCCACACCAGCAGCCCAGGGGAGCACTGCTGTGGACACAGTCTTGCTCTGGTAAATGTCCAGCGAGGGTCTGTGATTCCTGACATGGCTGAGGTACAAGGGTAGCGTAGTTGAGTGTGAGATGAGGTTGGGGCGCCACTGCAGGAAGTCGAGGCACAGGCCTTTTCTGAATTTATAGAAAACATCAAGGCCAGAGTTGGGTGGAGCCCAGTGGTGCAGGGGGATCTGCACCAGGTCTGACCAGCAACCCTAGGAAAGAGAGTCGAAGGAATGTGGATCTAGAAACCGTGATTTCCCTCTCTCAGGGATTTAGAACCCACCAGCAATGAGGCGCTGGAGATCGGATTGAATGCCGCTCTCCCACGGGGGCTTTAGGAACTGCCCAGCCCAGCTGACGGCTCCTTCACACGAGGAGGCAGCTCTGCTCTGCAAAGACGAGGTGGTGGTTGAACCCAGGCCCCTGGAGCAAGGGCTCTCTGCCCTCAGTCCTCACAGGAATGGGGTGCTGGGGCCACAGGGCAGTCCCGGCTGCGGGAAGAGTATTTCTGCTTCCCCTTCCTTGGATTCCAGCCGCCAATGAATTTACCATTTCTCCACTCAGAGAAGGTGAGGCAGCCCAGAGTTTCTGGATAAAGCAAAGCGTATGCACCCCCAAGTAAACTTGTGTTTCGGCTTTTTTATAATAACTACATTCACTCTCCGCAGAGGCTATTTCCATAGAGCCCTCAAAATGAAAACTATACGAATGGACCCAAGCCAAACAAAAGGAGAACAGGTTTGTCACATTTTTGACAAACTGCCCAAAAGTTTATCAATAGCACTCAGTTCTCTGAAGTCACCTCATGACATCCGGCTCCATCCGTCTTTCAGAAGTCACAGCCAGCCGCACGGTGCTGCCGTCGGAAGGTTACACAGGCCTGCACTTCCGTCCTCTAAAAGAAACAGACTTAGGAAAATAATTGAGGGTTCAGGGGAAGAAGAGTTTCCTGAGGGGACAACCAGGGACAGATTAACCAAATTACACCAGGGTGACAAACACACTTACCTTGATGTATGCATTATATAAGTACTGAATGTCTCATTTTTCTTTTCTTAACTTTGTTTTCTGTGTCCTGTGGATGGTTGCCCATATCATGCTGTCCGTCTTTAGACTTGATTCCTCAAAGACAGGTCTTTGTCTCAAACAATAATTTTTATTTAAAAACATGAACGAGGCCAGGTGCTATGGCTCATGCCTGTAATCCCTGCACTTTGGGAGGCCAAGGCAGGAGGATCACTTGAGCCTAGGAGTTTGAGAGCAACCTGGGCAACATAGTGAGATCCTGTCTCTACAAAAAAATACAAAAACTAGCCAGGCATGATTTCACACGTCTATAGTCCCAACTACTTGGGAAGCTGACGTGGGAGGATCGCTTGATCCCAGGAGTTCAAGGCTGTGGTGAGCCATGATTGCTCCACTGCACTCCAGCCTGGGTGACAGAGCAAGGTGCTGTCTCAAAAAGAAGTTTGGAAACACCCCAGGAAGTGTATACCCTGCCTAAGAGCGAGAGCCTAAGCATGATGGAACTGCTGCTGGCAGCCCTGGGAGGGAGGCAGGAGCGTTCTGATGTCAAATGTTCCTGATAACTAAGAACAAAACACTGGAAAAAGCAGACTATTGATAATATTTGTCAGGGGCACATGATTAGATTAAGTGTTAGAAGGAGGAGCCTAAAAATGGGATACACAGAGAACCATAAGCGGATAGAGCCAGGTTACAGCCATTATAAAGGGCACTGGGAGCCCCTGCAAAGCCCCGAACACCTCACATGGGGACACTGGAGAGGTGCTGGCCGAGGGGTCCAAGACTTCAGTGAGGCAGGAGGAACAAGCGCAGGGCCTGCCTCACAACACGGGGACTGCAGTTAATAACCATGCACTGCAGCCTTGGGGGTTGCTAAGAGATTTTAAGTGTTCACAACACACAATGATAAATACATGAGGTAATGTGTATGTTAATTAGCTCTGTTTAGCCATTCCATAATGTATCAAAATATCACAGGCCGGATGTGATGGCTCACGCCTGTAATTCCAGCACTTTGGGAGGCCGAGGCAGGTGAATCACTTGAACATGGCAAAACCCCATCTCTACTAAAAAAGCACAAAAATTAGCCGGGCATGGTGGCGCATACCTATCGTCCCAGCTACTCAGGAGGCAGAGGTCGCAGTGAGCCGTGATTGCACCGCTTCACTCCAGCCTGGGCGACAAAGTAAGACTCTATCTCAAAAACAAAACAGAACAAAAAACCCCATCATGTTGTACATCAAAAACACATGCAATTTTTGTCAATCAAATTAATACTTTTTAAAATAAAGTTAAAAAGAAAAGGGTGTGGAATATTTAAGGAAGAAGTATTCATTCTTAATGGCTAATCTTTAATAATGCAATAAGCCACCATGACCGGCTAATTTTGTATTTTTAGTAGAGATGGGGTTTCTCCATGTTGGTCAGGCTGGTCTCGAACTCCCAACCTCAGGTGATCCTCCCACGTTGGCGGGATTACAGGCATGAGCCACCGCCTCCGGCCTGGTTCATCTTTCAAACATGACTTTCTCCTTAGATGTATGAAAAAAAATTCATAAAGAATGCTATTTTCCCAAGAAGCAGGTGAGTTCTTGGACTTGGAACTATAAGAGCACACGGTAGGTGTCCTTAGTGTGTCATTAGACACCCTTGCTGCATTGTTGGACTGGACCAATTCAAAAATAAAACAAAGGTCTAAACCCAGATGCATCCATTCCTCCCCAACAATGTCCAGTCCATTATGGCTTCATTGCCTGGAGCAGGAGCCTGAGGTGGGCGCTGCAGTCTGGCTCCTGCACTGAGTCTCACACCTTCCATGGAGCCCTCATGCCCAGCTCTGCATTTCTCCTTGATCCAGACTGTTCTGTGGGTATTTTTAGCCTGGCTTCTTGGCAGTTTCACAAATGCTTTTCAAGATGCTTATGGGCATGTACTGAGAAAATGGTAGAAAACTGGGGAGCTCCCCTGAAATCTGCTCACTGTACCTTTGTCCTACAGCCCCCCTCAAGAGGGTCCCTGTCTTGCTCTCTGTCCCAGTTTTGCTCTCTGGCATGCCTGGTGCCAGAAACCTAGGCTGGATCTAGCCCAATAACTTTGGCATGAAATGAAAAGGAAGGCTCTTAAAGATATTACTTTTTTGGTCATTAAGCAAAGTGTCAGTTCTCCAATGGACTAACCTCTATTTGACTTTAGGACTCTAAGCACATGGCTTATGAGCTTGGAAGTTGTGATTCTTTAACTTCAACAAGAGAATGCTACACCAGAGGAGGGAAACGGGACCACAGGAAGGGCAAATTTGCCCATTTGACACCTATGGAAAAATAAGTAAGCATGGAGATCCCTTTTGTCTCTCTCCACTGAAAAAGTTGAGGAAATACAGCAGCAAATTTAGATGGAAAGAAAACTTTGTTGATGTTGGGGTGTCATGTTCTGTCTTAAAGGCTTGAGAGACGCTAGTCATCTCCTCCATACAGGCTTAAAAGCACTTTCCCTTAAAGATGTTTAGGAAGAAGAGAGACAGCTCAAACACAAGTATACCAGCAGTGGCGTGGGGTGAGCTAAAGATGAGTTGGAGTAATGGGAAGAGCATCGAGGAAGGAGTGACTCTAAGTAGCAAGCCACTCAGCACTCCTGGACCTCGGTTTCCTCTTCTATTTAATAAGGAGCTGAAGTGAACGTCCTTAGCTTTCAAGCTCTGACATTGTATGATACTGGAGGTCTTGTCCAGTTTGAGAAGAATGTCATTCCAAATGGTGAATCCCAGGATTTGTAAAGTTACATCACTAGTCACTGGCAGGTCAACTTTCTCAATTACTTGTGGTAGAGTCTTGGACTCCTCTGATGCCACAGAAAAGAATAGATGATGTCCCTGGCAGGATGCAGGCTCACAGAAAATCCCTTGCTTGAATTAAATGGAAATCTTTTCACTTGATGAGCATGGAGAGAGTGGGGCTGTAGGGGAGAGAGAGAGAAGAAAATATAGCAGGAGAACCAAGACTCTCAGAAAGCTCCACTGTTGGAGGAGACCTCTCCTGTCCAAAGAAGAAAGGAGATTATGTCATAGAAATACATAGCTATCCCTGCATATTTATTCATGCACCTAGACCAATCACAAGGTGAACAGGGAGGTGCCAACCCTATTGCTGTCCTCATGTCCAGATCTTCTGTATCCTTCTTACACACAAGGCAGGTGACAGGGCGGTGGACCCGCCTGCTCCCTCACAGTGATGGATGTTGAGTGGCACTGCAGCGTGGCAGGATCTTGTCACAGCCGTTCCCGTTTCAAATATTTGTGCCAACTACCTGTCGGCATTGCCCTCCAAAGTCCAGAAAACCCACTGCATCTTCTTCTCTCAAATACAGCGGCACTGGTAGAGCAGCACAGCCAAGCCAGAAAGCATTGTGGTTAGGTACCAGATGTGTATTTGCGCTCACGTACGAAAACTTTCTGCTATTTCTCACATATAAAATGATGCTAATGTCTGCCCCTTCTCATAAGAAGGTAACGTGATGGAAGAAGTGGATGTTTCTGAGAAGTCTCGAACGCAGACGGTCATGATCATTGCCCTCTGTCAAGTGCATGGCTGGCATCCTAGACTCCTCTGTCACACGAAAGACATGTCTGCCTCTGGCCACCTGGAACAGACATCTTGCTTCTGTCTGTTTCATTGGTTGCTGTCTCATTCCCTTCCTCGCTTAAAAAATCTTTTTCCCTTGCTAATGCCTCTTACTTCTCTCTCTCAACTGTTA